TGATATTGGTAAAAATCAAACAGTCTACTGGAATCTTCATAATTAAGACACTTCAAGTATTAAGGTATACTTACAGGACAGTTACTCGTACACCAAGAAACAGCAATGGATACATCCATGAAAGAGACGTATGATATACACACAAAGCACTCAGAGAATGAGTTGAAATGAAAAGTTAGTGTGCACTTTTAGTTACTTGTATGAATGTTTTTTTTTTTTTTTTTATCAACATTACTGTTCCATAGGCTCAGTTGTTAGCCCGGCTGAAGAGGTTTGATGATGCATTGAATATACTAAATGATGTGATAAAACGACAGCCTGAGTACAGTGGTGCTTATCGACATATAGCTGGTGTATATGGACTAATTACAAAACATACAGAGGTGGGTGTGTTGTATCAATTTGTTTTTGTATTGTCAGCGACTTCCCATCTTTTTTTTAAGATTACTAGAAGTATGCACATTACAGTGACCATATCAACCAACGTGTAGCGAAGGACAGTGTGATACCGTACTGCTAGAGTGCATAGTTTGCTGTATCCTCGGGGCGGACATCCGGGCATTTTCACTGCATGGCAACCATCACGGTGAAAACAAAGGTCGAAAACTCTCAGAGAACGGTACTTTGAGATAGTTGTTGAGACTCCCCTGAACAGTGTAACAAGATTACCCCTGCGTGTGTAATGCATATAAATTTGAATTCCTAGTGTTTTCTTGATTTTTCACAGGCTCTTTGCTCGGCATTCCACGTTCCTCAGCAGCGTGCGCAGAGCCCATATGTGATACAGTGGTGCGCGTCTTAGCAACGTGGAACGTCTTGTGAGGATTCTCATGATAACCTTATTATTATTCATCAAGCTTGTAGTAATATTTTAATGGAAGCCCAAAATGACAATGAAACATTTCATGTAGGATTTCATTTCTATCTTGCACTGATGAACTGATGCACTGAATTGATGAACAATTACCAAATAAGGAAGACATTCAAATGTGTCTGTAACATTTTCAATCATAAGTCTGTTTGTCATTTTACAGATGGGTAAAATTAAATTGTTTTTTGATGTCAGATATATAATAATAGTCATTATAATATTATAGTTGTACCTGATCATGTCACAGTTTGGATGATGTTTAGGTTGGATGATGTTTAGGTTTACTTGTTGATAAGGGAAAGTGTGCAGATTTTGTGAGTGTTACCCTTGTCATTGTTCTAAATTTACATTGAGTGTCTCTTCTTTGAGTAATTTTAGATAAATGCTGTTATTTTGTAATGATGGAATCAAAGACACTAGAGTCTTTGATGGAAAGAATGACAACAAAGTAAAGAGTATGTTGAGGAGTGAAGATGTAAAAACAAAAGTAAACATGAAAAGAAGTGATGTCACTAGAGGGCAGTATAATGCCATCTTTGTTTTCTATCACTACTGCAGGCAATCAAACACATTGACAAGTACTTAGAACTTGAACCTGACTTGGATCCAGTCGTGAAAGCTGAAATAATATATGAAAAAGGCAATAATTACCGAGATATAGGAGACAATCAATTAGCATTAAAGGTTTGTATGCGGTATATTTGCTGATAGTGTACCATAGCCCTGCAACCATAACATGGTGAACGCATTGGTTGAAAAAATTTTAATATACTATGAAATATACTGTGTTTTTTATAGAATTTATTTTCACTGATTTTTGATGAGTTGAATGTGAAATATAGGGAAAAAAAGTATATTCACTGGATTTTATTTTCACAGAAATCATCCTTTCAGTGAAAATAGTGAAAATAAATTCCAAGCGAAAATAAAGTATTCTACAGTACCATAGTGAATCCCAACATGTTTGCCTGAATGTTTACTTAGATTATACTGTAGTCTACAATCCATTATACATCATATATTATTGGCAGTCTCTACCAATAGTATTGTATGGTTGTTCATGCTACTGTCACTGCCATACGATTGTTACAAACAGTAACATTGCTAGCTGAGTTACTGACTGATTTTCAGTGCACATCTCAATATCATTACATGGTTAAAACTTGTTACTGTAAAATACATTTTTTGCTTGGAATTTATTTTCACTGAAAGAGTGATTCAGTGAATATAAAATCCAGCGAATATACCTTTTCTCCTATATTTTACATTCAAAATCAAAAATCAGTGAAAATAAATTCCATACAAAACACTCAAAAAGTTTTTTTTCAGCAAAAATTAATTCTAGCTAAAATAATGTATTTTACAGTACCGGGTAGTTCAAACCATTTTTTACGTGTGTGCACTGTCCGGCTAAATGTAAACATGTTTTAACATTTTAGACTGAGTCAATACATAAATTTGGTTTGGATAACTTTGCCATTTATTATATAGCAATTTATACGATTGAATGATATAAATTGAAAGGCAATGGCATCGTGATCTTCTATTTATATTCAATATGTCTAAGTCCCCAACTATTAGTGTGATGTCTCCTGTTGAGATTTGATTGACAATCTCCAGGCACACACAGCAACTAAGCTGGCAATGTTGCTGTTTTGTTGCTTGGTACTATGTGGCAGTGACAGACAGTAAATGTGATTATATCTGTGTATTATAGTGCTATGAAGATTGTGTTAAAGTGAATCCAAAGTTTTCAACTGGACAGATGAATCTAGGAGCCATGTTGCATCTACAGGTAAAGGTCAATTGATAGATTCTGTCAACATATTCATGATGTAATAATTTTGCGTCATTTTGCCGTAGTATTTAAACCAAATGTCTGAAAAAAAATCTTTTGTCTGTATTTTGACCAATTTTTAAATTCAAAATGATCAT